TTAATTCGTTCACGGAGCCATCCTGATTCCAAAATGGGATGGTATATTTAGCCACGGCCTCTAGGAGTAAAGTTGAAAAAGTGTGACACAGTGACACACTGACATTCACATTTATTATATATTTATATTTCTCATGTTGTCTGTCTGTGTGTCTGTCGTGGGCGTTGTTACCTCGCCCAGGCCGCATTTCGCACCCGATTTCGATGCGGTTTTCAACACAAGTTTGCAAATGGCTGCCGTAAGGACATGACGGAGCCCGATTTTTGAGTTCGGAATCAGGTTTCGAAAAAATCGATAATCGATAAAATCGATAATCGAAAAAATTCTGCTTACAGAAGGAATGATCGCATTTCAACCAAATTTGACACCCTCTTAGAGTCTATCATTAGAAGTGTTGTCCAGAAATTTTATGACCACGGACCCCTAAACAGCGCGGAAAATCGATAAAACCCCAAAACCGATACGCCCAGATTGCGTCTGAACCGCATGTCGGTTTTTAGCGAAAACCCAGCGGATTTATGAAGAGGCCATTGGGAGTCATCATGTGAAGTTTCAACTCTGAGCACCCCCCCCCCAAAGAGAGTGCAAATCGACAATCGGTCAACCCTTAAAAATGTTTTTCCGGTTTTTTAAAGCTGATCGTATTGTGTTTATTTTGTTTAGTTCTTTTTTCGTAACAGATTTAATGTTTACTATAGAGCTTAGAAAAAGTTGGCAGTGTGATATAGGCAAAAAGTAAGGCATGTAACAATATCAGCACGGCAAAGGGCACTCCTCTAAAGGCAAGGAAGGGCAAAAATATTTTAAGTCAAGTGATAGCGATTGCTGTATTAGTTGTACGATTTTTGAATCAAGCACGGGCAACGCCGGGCCATGCTGCTAGTTTATTATATAGATATATAATAATCGAAAAATTTTGGATAAGATTATGTCATGTTATAACTTTTTAAAAAAGATGATATTGAATCAGTTGCTAGGTTTGCTGCTAGGAATGTGATATACGATTTTTATCGAGACAATTTACAGAACATTTATAAGTCTACTATTCATGTATCCATTGAATATTGATGCCACATCTGATCCGGTGTTTCAGCTGTGTATTTAGAGATTCTTGATAAAAAAAACCCCAAAAAACAAGGAATAATCTACAATGTTATAATTTACCATACACGCGTAGATCAGGATATATATAAAGGGCTGTAGAGATGTTCATGTATCCCCCCCACCTCCTTTTATTTATTTATTTTTTTTTTAGTGTGTGTGTATGTTTGTTTGTTTGTTTGTGTGTGTGTGTGTGTGTGTGTGTGTGTGTGTGTGTGTGTATCTAATTATGTCTGGGTGCTTATGTATTATAATCTGATTGTGTTTTTGTTGTTTTTACGCGTGAGTTTAAGACCACATTCACAAACTTTAAAATAAAAACGGAAAAGAAAGGGAAAAAGGAAAAAATATATATATATATATATATATATATACATGTATTGTCAAATGACCGGATGTATTGTAGCGTCTTGTCTTGTCGAACGTAATTTCAATGAAGAAATGAATTGAATAAACATATATATTTTTTCTTTTCTCAATAATTTTGTAGTTTTTAAACTTAATAGTGATTAAATTTGTTTTTTTTAAAAAATTGCCAGTTTTTAATTTTAATATTAAATTTTATCATATAAGTTTATAATTATTAGTTAGTATAAATTATTTTTAATATTACACGTATTTAAAGATCTGAATAGCTATTATAGCAGGATTTCGTTGTCAAGCTTTTGAATCTTTCTATACTTCGTTTTTGATTGGTTATTCTAGCTTTTGTAACAATGTTTCCCCCTAGTGTAGGATCGTTAATTAATCTGAAACTTTTAAAACCATTTATTTTCTTTTCAACATCATCACTTGATAAGACACAGAGTGTGTTGAAACAAAATGGCTATTTTTGTAGCGATTTTATAACATACTTATGTTATAATTTTTTATATAAAAATTATAATATATATATATATATATATATATATATATATATATATATATATATATATATATATATATATATATATATAACTACCTATCATCCCCTCGTAGGTGTAGGTTCAGCTATTATATAAATTCCTATCATCCACTGAGTTCGAACTATTACATAACTTCACATCATCCCTACATCGGACACACACCTGACGTCTCAGCTTCAGTCATTTTCACATTGCCATAACCTAGCTTCCCTGTAAATATTTTCATGGTACTTGTTCGGATGAATCTTCCTCTATGGTACCTAGATTTTACAAGTTTAAGTACAGTACTAGATTGGTGGAAACGTTCCATCATTATTCAATAAGATGTAACCGTAATTTCTATGCTTGCAGTTTTTTCTTTCTCATTTCTCGCTTTTGAACCTCTCTTTCAGCTTGCTTTGAAGTCTTTAAAAATTTAAACCCATTGTCAATCGTTATATTGACTTCTTAATTCCTGTTGTTTAATTGTTCATCTCTAATAATATTTTCTTTTT